GTAACGGACACTGTGGGTGTGTCGGAGAGTTATTTGGGGTATTTTATTGAGTTCAGGACTCTTTGAAATGTAAGGGTGATCATTTTGGCATTTTTTAGTTTTTCAGGTCGAACGGTTCCATGTGGGACCCGCTACTGGAATTGTTGCATACGGGGATTTTAATTGGATTCATTTGCATCATATTTATTTTATTTAATGTGTTGTATATGGTTATGATTTAATGTGTGTATATATATATATATGTTGTGTGTGGTGCAAAATAAAAACAAAAAGAAAAAGGGAAAATAAAATGGAAATGGTAGGACCCACCCTTAGGCCATTTAAGGCTAAAGAGACCATGTTCGGTCTCTATTCTCTCTTCTCTCCCACTGGCCTCTCTCACCTCACTCTTTTTGTTCCATTTTCTTTTTCTTTTTCTATTAAAACTCCAAAGTTAAATTTCTTTCTCAATACTTGGTAATTTTAAGTGCCGTTTGCAGCAAATTGAAGCTCACGACGATATCTACGAATTGATCGGAATCAATCTTCATTTGGCCACCATTTGGGGGATCTCTAATCCTAAGGTTTGAGGTGAAATTGGGGTTTTTGGCTTAGATTGAGGTAGGGGTTTCTAATACTCAAATTCTTATTCCTTTGTGGAGTTTTTCTATTTTAATTGTTGTCAAGTATGATTAAATTGACTTGATTGTTCCTTAAATGATTTAATTGAGTATATGAAGCATGTAATTATGTGTATTTGTTGATTTACTTGGAAAGTATGCTTAATGTGTTAATTTTCTATGCCTATGATGTTTATTAATTTGTTAGAAATCTTATATGGAAGCATGTAAATTGTGTGATAATAATTCTCTCAATTTTCATAGTATTAAAAAGACATGTGATATGCATATAAGCATTGGGCATGAAAGAAAAGGAAAAGTGTTTTGAAATGAAATTGAAAGAGGGATTTTGGGGAGAAATTTGAGAAAATGGTTTTGAGAAAACCCGGTTACCACAGAGTCACCAAAGGACCGGTGTGTTAATGTAACTTAGAGGGAACTAGGGAGATTGCCCTAGCGTGGTTGAGCTATATGGGCCCCAAATGACGCCACGGAGGTACCAAGGGTCAGGGACAGTGGCCAATCCTTCTCTCGTGTCGCTGTGGAGTCACCAAAGGGCGGGTTATATTAACAGTTTAAAAAGTGATGAATTGGATTTTTAAAATGGGGAGCAACATGTGTGGCAATGCACTCATGGCACGACACTTTACTTGTTTTGAATTGGAGTTAATATTGTACTTTTTCCCGGTTTAGCATGATCCCACTCCCTATTGTCCTATTCATTGCTTGGATTCATGGGGCTACAAGAGGTGTGTCTTAGGCATCACCTACTAAGCTTTATGCTCACCCCATTATTTAACGTTTTTCAGGGCCGGAAAAAGAAGTAGTGGATGCCGACCTTCCACAAGCATGAGGAAGACTAGGAGTCTATTTTGTCATCTTTTGTATATTTCCCATTTTTTTTGTAAAGTCTCAAATTATAGTAAAGTGTATTTATTATGCACACCATGGACATGTATCGTGACTAAGACACTTGATTGTAAATGATGTAAATTTGAGACTATGTAGACATTTCATGTTGAATGGGAATTGAAGTTGTGTTTTGACAAATTCATTAATGTCTTTCAATTACTTAATATCATATTTCGTTGCCGTGAATTCGGAAATGAAGTGCATAACAAATCCGGTGTGAGTTCGGGTGGTAGTAGACACAGCCACTGGCCATTCCAGCAAGTTTCAGGGTTCAGGGCCTTGTTTCGCCCGACTGTCCCTCACCATCAGCCTATCGAAACTCCATGTTCGGCCGACCGAACCTCCATCGTTAGCCGACTGACGCAGGCTACAGTGAAAGTCCCGAGAGTAATTTTTCTCCCCATCGTTTCAGCCAACCGACCATGTAGGTCAACCGGCTGATCCTGCCTTGTCAGCCGGCCGATGAAGGCCCATAAGCCGGCTGATCATTCCCTTTGACCTGTATTCACTTGACCCTCTTTAAAACGATGTATGTTGAGTTGTTTAGATAATTCTGATGGGCTAGTATGACAGGTGTGGACACTGGAACTAGGTGGTATGACCTAGTTGACCTTGGGTTCGGGCAAGGACACGGGTAACAGTTCGGACCCACGGGTTCAGGTCGTTACAGAAAATCAGAGAGGCATAGAATATGTACCTATATATGCTGATTTGCAAAAGTACCCAAGATGCTAATTAGTATTATGTTATGCTAAGTACCTAATTTTTTAACATGTTAAGTACCCAACTCGTTAATAAGCTTAAGATATGAGATTAAAATAACGTTTCTTTTCTTGTTGAGGCTAACTACCCAATATTTTTTAAACATGATTGATTAATCTAAAAACTGATTTTTTTTTTGGCAAGAAAATTGCATTAACATAAATCACAATCAATCAATACATTCAAGTTCCACAATGTCCATCGAAGAGGATGGAAAAGATGAAAGAAAATAGACTGACTCTTTAACTCTCATAGCATACTGGGCTAACCAATGAGTCGTTTTGTTTCCCTTTCTATGAGTGAATTTGATTGAAAAGTTGACTCTCCGAGAGAGCGGGAGCTGGATATCTTCAATCATTTGCATCATTAAAAGAGGGCAGTTCTGATTGCCCAGAACCATATCAGTCACCCCTTTGGCATTCATCTCAAAAATCACTCTATGAAAACCCTAATCTTCAACCCTTAGCATAGCGTGTCTGAGTATGAGGGCTTCCCCGAGTGTAGGGACTGAAACATACTTTAAGAAGAAAGTAGAGGCCACCAACAACCATCCATTATGATCTCTAATCACCAGACCACCAGTAGCTTCAGCGGGAAAGGCATGAACAGCAGCATCCACATTAACTTTTAAAACACCAAAAATAGGTTTAGACCATTTGATATTCAACCGGGACAAACTCATCGGAGACATAGCTCGATCAGAAAAGGAGGAAGAAGGGAGAGCTTTAACAAACTCCCAAAAATGACTCACAACAATGTCAATAATCCTTTGTTCCGACCACCAAACCTTCTCATACAACATAGCATTCTTAGCTTTCCAAAGATACCAACATATGGAGGCCGGCAAACCTATCAAGAACTCCTTGTCTTTATAATTGTTCCATATCTGATTCAAGTCCATCCATCATGCTAGCCAAGAACTACCTCTGATAGCAGCAACCTCCACTCTCAAGGGGCTACACTTCCAAACCATAGCAGCTGTTGGACAATCACAAAGTAGGTGTTTAATAGTTTCTATATGAAGACCACACACCATACACGACCCAGAGTTCACAAAACCTCTTCTTAGTAAGGTCTCCCTAACAGCGACTTTTTCATGGAAGCACCTCCATACGAAGCGTTTTATTTTTGGCTTAGCAACCATTCTCCAAAGTTTGGGCTAAAAATGGTGAATCTCTCTATGACAACTACTTTCGATATCATTAAATAAAACACCTCGAGTTGGATGCTTTAACTGAAGAGCCACCTAATAAGTAGATTTGACTGAGAACTTGCCGCCCGTAGAGAAACCCCAAATTTGCCTATCCTCTTGTACAGTCTGATGGAGTTGAATCTGCAAGATAGAACGAACATCCTTCGCTGTAAAAATTTTAGAAATCAGTCTCTCATCCCACCGAATAGGATCCTTAAGAATAAGGCTTAAAAGAAATATTCCTAGGAATCCAACTATCTTTCCAACAATTGATCTCTCTACCATTGCCAACGTTCCACAACAGGCCTTTCTCAAGAACTCCTCTAGCTGCCAAATCTCAAGAACACCTCAATCAATCTAAAAACTGATTGATTGAGCTACATATATGCTTTGCATATTTTGCCATCATTTTAGTGATGGAGGACAAAAGGGTGGAATGGATGTTTGATTTGGCATGGATTTAAGTCGAACACGTGTGATTGTTTTGATGGCTTGGTCGCATCGTTTATTTGAAAGTTCGGACTTAAATTTAGTTAGAGTTAGGTTTGAATTGAGGTGCCAATGATTTGAATTTACTTTACTTTTAATTTTATTTTTATATATTTTAAATATGTTTTCACTTCCTTTTGTTTAAATATTTATTATTTTAAATTAATAATTTGAAATTTTAATTCCTAAGAATTTCTTTGTAACTATTTAAAAATTTATTAGAGAATTTTTTATGCTTAGAAATAATCTAACTCAAAGCTCACATTGAGTCAAAGGTATTATTGATTACATATATACATTTTTTTTTTTAAATCTATATACACATTTTTTTTTTTTGAAAAGGTATCTATATATACACACACTTGTGTATACTTCCCTATTCTTTGTATATAGACACATGTATGTGTGTGAAACAGTGAACAGATTTTTTTTTTTATGACAAATTAAACTGGACTGTCATTAAAAATTAAACTCGACTGTTATGAAAATTTATTTTAATTTGACTGCATTTAAAGTTCAGGATATAAATGACGTTTCCCCTATATTTTTGAACCCGGTACCTGTTCAAGCCCAAGAAAGGGGTCAGTGTAATTTAAAAGGATTCAAAGCATTGAAGGCAATAAAGAATCATAAAACTTTTTTATTCGATATGTCTTTCTTCTCCTACCAATTTTCACCAACACTATTGTCCTATTCTGCCAAACTTCTTGATGAAATCTTTATTATATATATATATATATATAGGAAGAGAAAATTTATCATTAATTAGTAAACTCTCCATCTTAAAGTAGGTCTCTTCTTTATATTTTTGAAATGTTTCAAATTATTCAAAATTAAAAGTCACATCTTTAAAAATAGTATTTTCGTTTCTTAAATTTATTATATGACTGAAATCCATGCAATGCAAGGGTAAACAAACCCTTGATTCATTATTGTGTCAAACTTTTTTGGAATGAATACAAAACTATTCTTATATATATATATATATAGACTAAGAGAATTTTTAAAAAGAGCTTGTCCCCAGAAAGAATTTCTCAAGGAGTAAAGAGTACGTACATATCTTTCTCCTTCTGCTGCAAATTTCCAACTCTAATCTCTCCCAAAAATCCCTCAAGTTTCCGTCACGCCATGTCTTCAAGAAAACATCAATCCACAATTCCTTCAGAGAAAGAAAAGAATGCATACTACTTGTTCAAAGACAAAGAAATGCGCGACATTACATCTGTTAGCCTCCCCAACAAAAAATTCTTTATTTTTTTATCTTTGTTTTTGAGCTTCTGGTTTGTAATTGTTCTCTTCTTCTTCCGTCCACAATCCTCAAACTCAAAAGAGGTGTTACGCCCCGTGTGTGAATCATTAGGAAACATATCGGTGTACATGTACGATTTGCCTCCAAAATTCAATCTTGGCCTACTCCAAGACTGCCAGCATCTAAACGTGTACACAGACATGTGTCCGCACGTAGCCAACCGCGGCCTCGGACAACCACTTGATCCGCAGATGATGAAGACGATGATGAGGACGACCGGATCATCAATTACCCCTATCAGGAGCAGCTGGTTCGCGACTCATCAGTTCATTGGAGAGATGATCTTCCACGCACGAATGGAGAACCACCCGTGTCGCACCATGGATCCCGAGCGAGCCAACTTGTTCTACGTCCCGTTCTACGGCGGCCTCCACGCGTCCAGCAAGTTTCGCGAGCCGGATCATGCTGCCCGCGATGCCTTGGCTCTGGAATTGGCCGAAATCGTTGGCCGGCAACCGTGGTGGCAAAGGCACCACGGGAGGGACCACTTCTTGGCACTGGGAAGGACTGCTTGGGACTTCATGAGGACCACCAGCGGCCCAGACTTCGGAGCCAACAGCCTCCTCAATTTACCACTTGTACGAAACATGTCGGTGCTGACCGTAGAGAGGCACCCATGGGAGGGATCCAAATTAAACCAGTACGGTATTCCGTACCCCTCCTATTTCCATCCCTCCACATCTGATGAAATGGTGGAGTGGCAGAACAACGTTGGCCGCATCCACCGGCCCCACCTCTTCTCATTTGTGGGAGCCCCACGGAAGGGCGTGGGGAAGGCCGCTATAAGGGACGACATGATAAGGCAATGCGCGGTGTCAAGTCGGTGCAAGCTCTTGAAATGCGGTCAGGGAGCGAGTAAATGCCATGAGCCCACGGAGGTGCTGAAAGTGATGATGAGGTCTCAGTTCTGCTTGCAAGCACCCGGTGACTCCTTCACTCGCCGATCCACCTTTGACTCCGTGCTGGCGGGTTGCATTCCAGTGTTCTTCTCCGAGCACACGGCGTATTCACAGTACACATGGTACCTTCCTGGTGATCCGACTACCTACTCGGTGTATATGGGCGGAGGAGACACAGACAGTGCTAATGATGGTAATGCAAGAGTAGACACAGACATAGAAGAAGAGCTTCTGAAGATACCGAGTGACACCGTGCAGATAATGCGGACAACTGTCATAGAGATGATTCCAACGCTCACATACAAAAATCCCAATTCTAGTATTGACTATGGATTCCCGGATTCTATTGACGTTGCACTAGCTGCGTTGATGTCTAGATTACGGGATGTGACAACCTCAGAATTAATCAGCCAGGTTAATTAACATATGTTTGTGTGATGACGGATGTATGCTCTTCTTTGTTGGAATGGATTTTGTATCAAGGCCCCTTTATAGTCCATATAGAACCTTGTGAGTAGTCATAGAAACCTTGTATGAGCCTCACCATATGATAAATCTACGTTGATTCTTGTCAATAGTCGGTAACCTGACCTTTGCAATTAATAAATTTATTCAAATTACACAATCAAATGCATTCAAATTACACAATCTTAAGCATGTGGGGGCTTGGAGCAATACCCAATGATTGATTGTGTTGTGTTTAAAGGGAAAAAGTAAAATGTTGTTCTTTTTCTTTGGAACTACTTTGAAGATTGTTTAAAGTTATGTAATGTTATAAATCCCACAATCACTTTATTTTTTGAATTAGTAAAATCAAAATCAAAATCAGAGCATATAGATCATATTCTTTAAGCAATCATAGTATACATGTTAGCATGGATCTTGTTTTAAAGAAACAAGATGGACAATAAGTTAACTAGACAAATTAAACAGATCGAGCCAAGACAAGACCATCGACATATTTAGGAACGTCAATATGTGTAACATGATTTAGGAGTTGTGAGCCGGCAAATATTCTCATATTTCTAAACATATTTAGGAATTTAAAATTATTTTCAGAACATAAAGAAAAGACATGTTTTGGGCAGATGTGTAACAATCAGTTTATATAAGAGGAGAAATTATTATATGGTCCCAGTTAATTACAAGCAGCTGCTGCGTATATTATAAACCGATGTAAAATGTTCTGCAATCATTCACAATCAAGAAAGTATGCACAATTGCACATTCACATGAGCCGACACACAATAATATTGAGTTATAATATTGGCATTTGTTGCACCATCAACTCTGAAAATATTTTTGCTAAATTACTTCTTCAGATTCAGTGAAGAGAAGACTTTTAAGACATTAAATTTTCAATCCTTAGATGAAGAAAAAAATCCTTGGAGCTAAAATGAGCCCCAGCTCATCAACCAAATATAGTCAATGTACGTATATTATAATAACTAGATTTGCTGGTAATTAAATATTGGTCAAGTCATTGCGCAGCAATAAGTGACACCAGCAGCACAAAAACAATAAAATTAGCTGAACCACCAACAGGTCATGTTGAACCATGCAAGTTCTCAGTAGGTTCTTATGTTGCGTGTGAGGCTCAAAGTGTGCTCCTAAGGGTTAAAGTCAGAAATTTACAGCAAAGTTGGCTAGCTGCTCCGAGCTATTAAGACTCGAGCAAATATTCCTATTTGTTACGGCCGATTGGGGCCTTGTACATAGTCTTGCCTAACATGATTTGGGGAACTGCAGAGAGCAAAATAGACCCTCTCATTGGCTCCCTCAGTTCGACCTTAATTCAAAGGCACTGCTGAATAAATCCGAGTACTATTTTTGTGATTTTGTTGTTAGTGAATAATGAGGTACGGAAAAATTATGATCGAAAGGCCTAACTAACTGCACTTGTATATAATTTTTAGACTAGTGCAGGAGACCAAATCAAATACATTAATTTGAATAATCTTGGTTGTCTAACATCAACTCCAAAAGACAAAACGAGAAACAAGTCAGTTCCAACCCATCTAAACAAATGATAGTATATATTATATATGTTACTCTCTTTAAAACTGGTTTGCGCCAATACAGAGTATATCCCACATAATAATAGATTTCAGAATGCTGTCTTCAATATAATCTAGCAATTAATATATTGCTGTAACTTCTCTCAGTCTGCATAACTTGGAGAAGGAAGTTTTGAAAACACCCTACCTAATTGAATTTTAGGTTACGAATGAAATAAATCATAGAATCATGTACATTAAAAAAGGATTACAATTATTCAATTTTGTTTTTAGCGTCTCTAATTTCGCAATCTATGGCAAAATGTTGCATAGGTCTCTTCTTAAGTTCATCCAATTTTGTTTTTAGTGTCTCAAATTTCGCTGTTAGCATCTACCACTACTTTGAAGCAATTCAGTTTTTAAATTCTTTATTCTGTTGTCAAGCAGAATCCGTAACTCGAGAGACAAAAATAAGCAACAAGAATACACACCAACGAGGTTCATATAAACAAGGCATTAGCTTTGAGCCTTGACAGATACAGGGGCGTCCTATGAAAAGCATAAGCACGCGACAAATAGGAAAGGAAACATCAGTGGCTAATGAGGCCTAAGTTCTGATGCTTGCATGCTGAGTACGAAAATGCTGATTTGCCATAAGTACCAAAGAAGATGCTAATATTAACTACTCAAGTTGTTGACATACCACGGTGACTCTATGCTGAAGCGACCATCAAAAGTCCTCATTTGTTGTCTTCTTCAACCACCTCGGTAGAGTTGTGCGGAACAACAGCAGATAACTTTGTGTCTTGTGAAGGTTTATCCTCCGAGAGATAGGAGCTTGGAAAGTAATAAGTTTAAAACTTTAGTACTTAATATGTTTGATTCAGAAAATTGATTGACATAAAGTAGGTATACCTTAGAGACGATGCAAGTAACATGAGCAACATAGGGACATTATGCACAATAATAAACGGGACACTACTCAATTACCCAAAATAATAGTAATAATAATAATAATATATCACACTTCTTGCATTGGTTCATGAAGTCACCAAATAGGGTGAAAATTATGTTGTGAAATTAAATGGAAAACACAATAAAGAAATCAATTTTTTTTTTTTTTTTTGACCAAAATAAAGAGATCAAATACACACACACAAAAACGCACAAATTTTACTTGATTCACCCAAAATCAAGGATACGTCCAAAGGTTGCAGAGATTTTCATTACTATGATTAAAAGTTCAAAATGAATAAATACCCTCGCATTAAAGCAACATAACAAGTGCAGAAATTATCAAAAAACCCTCCAAAAAATTCAAACTTAATTGGATCCGTGGAATTGAGACTTAGTGTGATACCCCTCGAATCCGAGACATGGGTTGATCAGGCCCAAACCCAAACCCAAGAGAATATCAAACAATTAATATATAAACGAATACAGCATATAAAAAATAAAATACAAAATAGAATCAAGCTGAAATAATTACTAAATATAAAATCCTCCAAACTTAAAGATTTATAAAATCCAATTCTTTAAAACCTCCAAGAGTACAATTCAGAAATCCATCTAGTGCACTCCTAAATCAAATCCCAACTGAACATAAAATAATTGGAAATAAAACCAAATCTAAAACATGGAATGAAATCCTATGTCGTCGGTAGAGTGAATGATAGTCTCTGCTCAGCATGATCAAGCCTAAGACTGGAACCGTCCGATACTTGAAAAATATAAGAGTGGGTAAGGCCCACGAACAAGTTCTAATTTAACTGTAATCCATCCAGTGGCCCGATACGCAGATACATCCTAGATATCTCACAATATTTATCTAGTCCATAAATACATATATATCCACACTAAGGGGCATTCACTGGATTACGAAGGGGGTCTCAACCTGAATAGAAGCAACATGCAAAAACGCACCCAAAGGTGGACATGAATACCTAGACCTAACATGGTATACCTCCACCTATCATAGCCAGCTACGCATCCACTGCATATACGCATCCTAACCAACGAGCCTGAGACTCAAGTTCATCTCGTGGTACCATAACCATATATATAAAGTTCGTCCGAAACCAGAGTATATCATTTAATTCTTCATTGATCTGACATACGATTTATAATCCAATTAGTCACTCAACTTATTCAGTTGATATGACTTAACTACAAACAACAATTAATTCATGTGGTCACTCAATTACTCAGTTGATCTGACTTAAATATAAGTATGATTCAAATTTTACAATCCATTCCCTTATTCCAATAGGGTAGGTCTTAACGTTTTGAGCTAAACCACCCCTAGTATGCCACCGTCCATATCGGTGCATATAATCCACAACATCCAAATGATTGACAAAATTTAATAAAATAATTCAGCAATTATAATTCAACACATAACTCCAGATAATTGACAGAATTCAATGAGACAATTCAGCAATTATAATCCAACATATAACTCCAGATAATTAACATAATTTATTTTAATAATTCTTCAATTAAAATCCCAGGGGACATAATAAAATCTAGCATGTATAAGACCCTATTATGCATCCAAAACAAAATTTAGAAATCTTACTCCAGCCATTTAAGTTGCTAAAATAAGTTTAAACAACTAAATACTTTACATCCGTCAACAGTGTGCGACATTGCTTGCAACTTCCACACTGTGTAAACCATTAACATATAGAGATAAATTATGCATGGTGGGTTCTAATATTGTATAATATCATGTTTAGAGTCCATGCTACAGTCCGTTAAACTGTTTACACAAGATTAAACAATTTAATCCTTCCTATCCGTTTAAGCATGCAAAGTTGCTTATTTTTATACTGTTCTTTCTATTTGCAATACAAATCAAATTATGCAATTAGAGAGTTTAAAATCACATGAAATTACTTTTAAAATTTTTAGTCCAGTCCTTGAAACAATTCAGAATCCCAAACACATCCAAAACAGTACCCAAAACAGTTCCGGAACGCGTCCAAACAAAGCCCAACAAGGGAGCCTGCTCTCTAAACAACATAGCAGGTTCTAAGCACCATGAAGCCGGCTCCCTAGCCCTTAGAGCCGGCACTATGAAGAGGGGAGCCGGCTCCCAACCTCCTGGAGCCAGCTCTCTCCCTCTTTGAGAGTACTACTCCACTTCTTGCTCCATTTCCGACCATCTGCTTCGTCTCCGGCCTTTTCCTACCCTTCTGTTCTTCCTTAAAACTAATTTTAACAGTCTAATATAAATTCAGTAGCATCCCAATGTTTTGTTTACAACAATTGAAATTAATTACAGTGATTAAAACCGCTACTGATTCATTATGCGTTAACATAGAACATGGACTTCAAACTTGTAAGAACAGTTACAGATTACATTTAAACACATACAGATGATCAAGTTGATATATAATAAGCACGCAAGATTCAATCAATAATTAATTAAAACCCTAGAGACTATCTAGGTGCATAGAACACAGGCCAACGGGATAGAGAAAGAAAAGAACTTGCATGTGATTTCAGTTATGAAATCTCTGCGTCGTCTCTAAGTTTCCGGCAATACTGAATACTGTCAAGCCTTCTACTTCTCCGG